TTTGGTATTTTACCTCTGTTCGTATTTTAACAGTTTTTAATTTATTATATTATATATGCATACATTAATAAATCTCTTTTTATATCTTACTTTTACAAAAGAAATATACCGTATAGTCATTTTTGTATTGGATTGGTTTTGTTGTATGTTTTTAGTATATTTTTAACTTCCTAAAAATATTAGATTTGCTTTTATATTGTAATATATGTAAATATTTTTCAGGGACTATTAAATTCAAGAACCTTAGATTTTTACTTTTAAAGATATTTATGGTACACAAGCATAATTTAAAGCATACTAAAAAATATTTAACATGTCTTTCAGTGTTAAATGTTTGTTATTAACTACTAAAATTATATAGATACGAAAGATAAAAAATTGTAAATGCATTGTGGGAAGTGCATTGTGGTCTTCCCTTGTTGGAGACGCCGTAGCTCATTAGCTATGTCCAAATTCTTGATTCTTTATTTTTGTTCTATCTCTTTAAACTTTATACTACGATCACCCACTCCCTCTCAAAATATACAAACATCAATTTCAAATCCCAACGATCAGAAATTCTTAACAAAGCCTTCAATTCTTTCGACCCGAAATACACACCTTTTTTTTTTTGTCTTCTCATTCGTTTTTTTCATATCGTTTTTATGATTTTTCATTTGGTTACGTTTGCTGTGATTTTATTTATGTTTGATTATCGAAAATCCATTATAAGACGTCCATATAACCTACTATTATACTAGATCTTGACCCGCACGTGCGGGGTTTCATATTTTAAAAAAAATTCTAACAAATTTTAATTCAATATAGATTATTTCGTTGTTTCTATGATATATATTTTAGTGTATTAGATCTGGATTCACACCTACGTGCAGAAATATTTTTATATAAATTGTTATATAGATTTTAAAAATATAAAATATTTTGTTGTGTTAGTGAATTTTATAATAGTATAAATATTATAAAATTAGAGTAATGAACGAAATTCAGTTGCGTTAGTGCATAGTTATATTTTAAGATCCTGACCTACACGTACGTGCGAAATTATATTTAAGATAAAACTAAGATATAATTTAGTTGCAAAAGTTAAATGATGTTACTTTTTTTATTTTCTAAACTAATCAAAACATTTCTAATAGTTTGATTATGTGTTAAATAGGATATAGATTCGGTTTGAGTTTGGTTATATTTCATGTATATTAGCTAGGCGTAGCTATTTTGGAACGGGAAACTTATCCCGTCATGTATATGTCATAAATTCTTAGTCCCATAACCCGTATCGTATACGTGAAATAAAAATATGACGGTCCAGTATCCGGCCTAAATAGAATATGTGTAACTGAAAACTTACGTACAGTATGTAAACAAATTTATTTTATATAGTGCTCATAACCTGAACTCATACCAGCTGTGTATTTAGTTTGATTTTTTAATTTATGTTCTCCTGCTATCCCGTCTCGTAATTTCTATTCTCATTTTATTCCATTAAAATCATGTTCCAAATTCTTGTTTGCTTACTTTTAAATATCATACAATACATACTGTGAGTTTTGCAGATTAATATATATGTTGCTAAAGTTACGAATATATTTTATCAAATTTATTAATCTTTCTTTCCTTAGCTAAATATTGCATATTCTTCTTTTTATTGTTTAATCATAATTAATTTGATTTTTGGACTAAAAATAAAAATTTGAAATACATCTCTAAAAGGGATATGCTATTGCTGCATAATTTGTTTTGAATTCAAAATATATAATTAGTTTACATTATTTGAAAACTGTGTGCAATATATTAGAGATTTATTTAAGGAAGATCCGGTTGAAAAACAAAAAATAAATCGCAAAATAATTTAGAAATTAATATATACAATCTATTGTTTAGATATTTATCAAACTTGCTCTAAACGAACACTACAAAAAAACACGGCATGTGGCGTCAATTATGTATATGGTTTACGTCAGTTTTTAGTGACTTAAAAAATCTTGCGTTAGTTATAAAACTAACGTCTCATGGGCTGACGTGAAGTTAATTAACTCTAAGTAACTGTTATTAATATCCATCCATTTTTCAATTTTACGTCATTTACATAAGTGATGTTGAATAAGTGACGTGTTCAAGCGTTTTTTTTGTAGTGGAAGGCTATAATGATAATTACTTTAAATTTATTATTATTTGAGTTTATTTCATAGTAAATATAAATAGTTGTTAATATCTAATATCTTATTTTAGAAATTGTGAAAAAAAATTGTGTTTTATATTTCAAAATTTGTGAAAATATTATAACAAAATTGAATCTTAAAATATTTGTATTTAATTTTCTTATGGAATTTTAAATTCAATATTAAAGTCCTCCATTGATAAATCTTTTAAACGATAGTGTTTTTAATTTTGAATTAAAATGATATTATTTTTCTTTTTATTTTTAATATAGATTAGTATATTACAATTGGTTTAGATAAAATCTTAGTGGGATATCAAATCTTAGTTTTTCAATTTTCATTGGTTAACAATTTTTAAAAATTAATTTCAAATTTTCGTTTATAATTAATAGGAGAGAAAAAGCTAGTTTAATTTTTTGGAAATTAATAATTATTTAAAAGAATTAAACAATTTTTAATTTAAATATATTAATTTTGTGATTCCTATTGTACCCTTAATGAAGTTATTTAAAAACACTAAAAACTAATGGCAATCTTTGTAATATCTTACACTTTATAAGGTTATTTAAGTTAGAATGATTCCCAATTAATAGTATAGATATTGAAGCTATAGAGTGAACATCAACACATGATTTTGAATCGCAGAAGTTGAAGATATCAATGAAAAAATCTTGACTCAAAATCTATTTGACATATCCAAAATTTCCAACCAATACCAAACTTTAAGATTCAGAAACATAGAAACCATTGCTGAATAAATCTTTATCTCTTACACAAGCTTGTGACTACTTTCACCTCCCCCTTTTCTGCTTGATGCATCGTAGAATTAGGATAATTTCTATTTATTTATATTTTAATTATATTAATTATTTTAATCTTTATCTTTTAGTGTTTCTAGAATATTCTATGGATTTTAGGGTTTTATGCTTTTATTATAAATAGTTTTTTTAGGCCTCCTATTGTATGCAGTTGTTATTGAATTTATTAATCGAAAGACTTAGGGCTTGATTGGTTCTCCCACTAGTACCCTCCTAGCGGTTGCTAGCGGACGGTTGCGGTTGTTAGCGGTTGGTACCAATCACAGAAACCGCTCCGTACCGCTTCGAACCGCTCAAAATCGCTGAATTTCAAAAGCTCTTTCCCGCAAGCGTTTGCGGTTGCGGGCGGTAGCGGTTGGATTTTTTTTTTTTAAATAAAAAAAATCAAACGTTTACTTATAATTATTATAATATATAGGGATATTAATCATATATATATCTTTCATCTTTGTATCATGTTCTCATCAGAAACCCTAATAATATTCTGAAACCCTATTCTCTCAATGTCTCCCACCCAAACTGATGAAAATCAATAACCAAACGTAAGTATCATATATCCTTTTCTTCATTCATCACCTCATGTGTAACTTTTTGAATATTTTTCATGGCATCGTTTTTTTTCTTTTCATTACGTATTGCTTTGCTTTTTGATTGAATATATGTTTCGATTTGTTTTCTCGAATAGAAACTCACTTGCTTTTTGATTGAATTCAACGTTATTTACAGTTTGTCTCATTACTTGATGCAATTTTTGATGTTAAACCAGATGCATAAAGTACTATCTTGTTACAAAATTTCTTTATTTTTGAATAATTATTTAGTACTTTATTTATGGTTTTAATTATTAAGCATGTTCAATTTTTCTAATATTATCATAATAATATATTGGTGTTTTTATTTCTTTTTTTTGTAATATTTTTTATTTATTTTGGTCATTTTTTATTTAACTGCTACCGCACCCGCTGGTTTACCAGTCATAAAACTCCCGCAAACGCATCCATTTTCAAACGCTAAACCAGTCGTTCAAAACGCTTGATAACGCTTGAAGCCGCAACCGCCCGCTTCCGCAAACTCCCGCAACCGCAACCGCAACCGCAACCGCTGCGTTTAAACCAGTCAGGCCCTTAAAGAGGTTTTGATAAACCACTGTGAAGAGTATTCACAACCCTAAGAGCTTTTGCGAAAGCCCTGAGAGGAGGACTCTCAAACCCTAGTTTCCGGGTACTCTCAGAATCAACGGATCTAGTTCTATCCCTAGAAGCTTCCGCTTCATCATTTGGTATCAAAGCTGCGTCTCTTTGATTTCTCAATCGAAGAACGATTCTGGTGATCATGTTGAGTGGTAATTTTTATCCTTTTGCAGAAGAAAGTTTGTTTGAAGATGATTACAGAGAGATCTACGGTGACCCTATCTAAGACATCTATGAAGATGATGTTAAGGTTTTCGATCATGTAGATTTCATATTTGGAGAAGATACTTTTAAAGAAATTCGTGCAAAATTCGTGCAAGCTAAAAACTGTGCAGGATTCGAGAATGACCAGATATGTGCAAAATTCGTGCATAATCATATCTGTGCAAAAATCAGGTGTGATAAGATCAGTGCGAAAATCGTGCAGAAAGTGATTGGTCCAATTTTGGGTATGATCCGTTTAGTGAAGATTTTTGGAAAAAACAGATTTCGTGCAAATATTGGGTCAGATCCAGTTTGTGCAAAAATCGAACAAAAACAAAAGATGGGGATAAAGCTGAATCTTCGAAGATCTCATATGCTGAAAAGTTTGTTGAAGATTCGAGGACGAATTTTTCTTGGCCGGCGAGAGCTGATGCAGCGCAGATACAAGATTCGAGGACGAATCTTTTCTTGGCCGGCGAGACCTGATGCAGCGTAAAATTAGAATAATTTCTATTTATTTATATTTTAATTATATTAATTATTTTAATCTTTATCTTTTAGTGTTTCTAGAATATTCTATGGATTTTAGGGTTTTATCTTTTTATTATAAATATCCTTCTTAGGCCTCCTATTGTATGCAGTTGTTATTGAATTTATTAATCGAAAGATTTAAAGAGGTTTTGATAAACCACTGTGAAAAGTTTTCACAACCCTAAGAGCTTTTGCGAAAGCCCTGAGAGGAGGACTCTCAAACTCTAGTTTCCGAGTATTCTCAGAATCAACGGATCTAGTTCTATCTCTAGAAGCTTCCGCTTCATCACTGCTCCAGTCCCATCTTCGTCTCCCTCATCTCATCTGCAAAAATGATCAATAGTCCAACTCCAACATAATGAGAAGAAGAGACAAAAGAATAATCTTCAAGTGTTTCATCCGACAGAAGCAAATATCTATTTTCCTTAAAATTGTTCATCTCTCTACAATACAAACATGAATCTTCCTCTCGATACACATTCCAGATTAACCATATGCTAATTACTACAGCTTAACTAAGAAGCCTAACAACTAATTCATAGTCTGAGCTAAAAAAATAACCAGAAAATAAAAAGGATCCGAGATTTACTTATTGTGGATGCTTGAGTAATAATCAGAGGATCACAACGTTCAATCACTTCCTTTCCAAGCTCTTTCATTATAGTTAGAACAAAGCTAACAGGAAACACCACATCATCTATCATAGCCAAAAGCCCAAAACAGTTTTCTGATTCACCATCAAATCCTACAAAACAAAAACCCAAACATTAGAAGACTAAACAAACCTTGAACATAAAGTTTAATACCGAAAGACTCAATTTTACATAACATCTTCGAATCTCAAGACTGATTTTAAAACCCCACATCGACATTAATATAACAACAAACTACAAACAGAAGCTTCATATTTCAATAATTAACCCTATTCCGATGAGAAATGAACAAGTTTTGACAAACTTTAAAATCACTAAAAAGGAAATCGAAGAACCCTAACCAGTAAAATTAAGGAATTGAGAAATGAACAAAGGTATCGATAATTACCACTTGAAGTTGATCGGAGACAAGAGATTCGATTTCATCGAGAACATTTAGGGTTTCGGCATGGGCTGAATCTAAAACGCAGCGAAGGAGAGGCAATTTCCATAACTACTTCATACTTGACTTTCACCCTAGACTAGGCATGTCAATCGGGCTAGCCCGGCCCGGCCCGGCCCGAAACCCGCAAAACCCGTACATATTTGAGCACGGCCCGGCCCGGCCCGTAAAAATTCCGCGCCTATATTTTAAAGGCCGGCCCGGCCCTAACAGGGCTACATGGCTTTTCCGAGCTTTTTTGGGCTTTTCTTCCGACAAAAAAAAAACAAACTTATAATTTCTAATATCTCTTAAAAAAAATCTATATATGAAACGAGTCAATCAAAATTTAAATAACCACTAACGCTAATTTAGTTGTTTAAAAAGAGTTAAAATCAAATAAATAATCCAAATAAATTGTTTAAACTTATACTAAATAAAATATAAAATCAAAATAATTCAAATTAGGTAGTAGAGCTAATATTTGCTTTTTCGATTTATAGTAATACACAACAAAAAAAAAAACTAAGTTTAGGGTTTTCAACTCTATAAAAAATTTTTTTTACAAGAAATCTTACAATTAAACGAAAATATTAACAAAAAAAAGGTCAAAATATTTTTTTAAGGGCTTTTCGGGCTAGCCCGAGCCCGGCCGGGCTAAGCCCAAAAAACCCTTTAGCCCTGACGGGCTTGGCCCGAAAGGCCCTTTTTTTTTGGACATATATTTTGAAGCCCGAGCCTGCTGTTTTTCAGGGCTGGGCCGGGCTAGCCCGCGGGCTTTGGCCCTAATTGACATGTCTACCCTAGACAAATTATGTAACACCCCATTAGATTTTGCTTGAGTTTTTGTACGTTATGTAGTTTTTTTAAAAATAAATAAATTAAGTGATATGTGTTATATAGATAAGGTTGGGGAAGTGCCTTTAGTCAAGTGGTTAAGTCCAATTGGCTCCGCCTTTTCCACCGGAGTTCGACTCCACTCAGTCGCGTTATCCCGCGTAGTAGGGATTGACTATGGATCGGGCTTTGTCGATCCAAAGATGATGTTAAAAAAAAAAGTGATATGTGTTATATATTAAGGCATGTGTGTTTAATAGTTATTGTGGGAGTAAGTGACGTGGGATTGGTGTTTTTAGTCATTCCTAATTAGTTGCTTGTTGCTTGATTAAATACTTAGATTAGCATTTGGGCCTATTATTTATTTTGATTAAAGAATTGGTTGATCATTTGGGCCGTAATTATGATATGGTGTTAGACTTAGGGTAAAAATAAAACTCAGCCGTCTCTTTGTGGTTTATAAAGAGCATGGTCTGAGATAATTAGGGGGAGGCTACTCTCTACGTTTTCTTTCACATGGTGTCTTCTTGGATTTATAAGCCTTTATCTACCAAATCACGTAAACCAAGTGAGTATTAGGAGTCTTTTACTTTATATGTTTGTGGATCTTGTTTCTTTTGGTTTATAATTCCTTCGTTATTAGTAATCTGTTTATTTGTGTCCTAGTGAATATATATATGCAGCTCGTGTTGACTTGACTTTTGCTGATTAGTAAATTAAATGAAAATTTTGATATAGAATATTGTTCACCATATATTTGGCATGCTCTTCACTTGTTTGACTAATTGAATAACTCGGGAATACTAAACTTTATAAAGAGTTGGTCAAACGTAAGATGCTTCAGAATTTGATTTATAAAGTAATCAAAAGAGGTAATTTACAAAGTAATCAAAAGAGGTAATTTTATCTAGTTGAAATGCTATAATTTGTATGATCGTTAGTTCTCTTTGGTTTATTTTTGTGATAATTAAGTTTATATATTTTAATTGGCTATGACAGAGATTCGAAGGTGTTAAGAGATCTGAATTATGCCCTTTGTGCATTTATGTGTTATGAAGTGAGCAATTAGGCTTATATGTATGTCTATTTGAGCAATTAGGCTTATTGGTATATTTTAAGCAAATAGGCTTACATACGTATATTTCGAGCAATGTGGCTTATGTATCGATTTGAGCAATTAGGCTTATGTGGATGAGCAATCAGGCTTATGAGAATGAGAAAAGTAGCTTTTATAAGTTGATGAATTGGTGCCTTGTAAATTTATGTGGGAGTTTATGTTAGTATGCTTGAAAAATTGAATTAGCGTTAAAAAAGTACCAGTACGTGAACATTGTTTGCTGCGGATTCGAACCGCACTGGTACATTAATTTGAATATTTATTTTTGCTCACCGGGTGATAGTCAATCACTCACGTCGTTCGATACCCGCAGGTTTTTGAGTGAGCTTGGAGAAGCAAGCTTGTTCGTAGTTCTTGGATTCGGCATTGCAAGTTATCAAAGGTTTAGTTTTATGAAAAATAACTGGTTTTGTATAAAATTGAATTGGTAATTGTAAAAGAACAATTTCTAGTGTTTTATTTAATTATTTTTCTTAAGTAATGTCTCGTTAATTCTTCAAGAATTTTCGGAGCGTTACACATTAAACCTGAGGAAAAAAATTAATTGATTAGAAACAAAATCGTAAATTAGGAAGAAACTCAAAATCTTGCTTCTTAGGTGATACATAAAAATTGATTTCGTCTAAAGACGGCTAACCTTAAATAAAGAGATGAGAGGAACACCGATCCGATCAACGATGAGAGAAACAGCCGGTGATTCGAGATGAAAGAATTAGATTTTGGTTTAGAAAGAAGAAAACGAAGAAGATGATTGATGGAGCTTGTTGGAGAGGGGTTCCTTGAAGCTTGAAGAATTGGTGATTTTCCGGTGGTTTACGGTGGTTATTGGAGCTCCTTCCGATGGCAAATCGACAACAAACTCACCGGCGACGACATAATCTTCGTCTCTCCAGTTTTATTTTTCTAGTTGTTTATTTTTGTGGTTTTTCTTTGTTTTCTAGAAAAATATGAGACTGGAAAAAAAGATGAGAGAAAGAGTGACATCACAAGATAGAAGATTATTACTGGAAATCAATATTGAGCTGTATTATTTAGAAGGTTTTGATTGGAGTTTGTTTTTAATGATGTGTGGCATCCAGAATAACTAAAAAAACTGATGTGTCAGATCAGGAGAGAAAACTAGTGTTTTTATTGTATTAATTAATTTTAAGCATGAATGGTGTTAAGACATACTTGGGAAAATTAAATACTTATAAAACTTAAATTTGAATTTAGTACATAGTAACAACAAAATTAATTTATAATCTTTCAAAAATAATTTCCTATAAATAGTAACACACGCCTTTCATTAACCATCATATTTCAGTAGCACTATTTTAATTCAACTAATGGTGTCTCAAATTATTGTTTTGTGTCACTTTTGTAAAAAGTTATCATTAGGGGAGGGAGACATACATACAACCAAAAACCCTATTCAAAGTCAATCGTAATTGCTATTTTAAGAAACTGTTCAAAAGAACCAAGTAGAAAGCCCAAAGTTTGTGAAGCCAGAAAAACTACATTATGGTTTTTTTTTGTATTATTTTTCTCTTTTTCTAAACTTAAAATTTGAATGGTTCAAAACAAATTTAGTGATTATGCACTTTTCGAGAAAAAGACTAGGCCAAGAAGTTTGAGTATGCTTGGAAGCAACATATCAAATGAAAGGCAATATATATCTCTAAAATTGTTGCGCCCAAGGCTGCTAATTAAGTTGGGGTGGGTAATATAAGCAGGGGTTGAATGCTATAGAGTAGCCATCATGTATTATAGTCTTTGTTTATATTTTATCTATGCCTCTTCTACACTCATTCCTCTTGATTTTTTCGTTCTCTTCAATTCGTCATGTTTTAACAACTATTTGTCACATGCAACTTTTTAATTCCTTTTAAGCTCTTAAAACTTTATTATAGAACTTCTTTCTTATTTGCTCAAAATAAAGGACAACGAACGGCTTTAAGGTTTTTTTTATGAACAATTTCAAGATCATATACAAAGATGGAGTAGATGCATAATTTTTTGTGGAAAGCTTTAGTTTACTATTTGTTAAATTGCTAAACATAAATGATCTGCATTGTAATCTTGTCATGTAGACATATGATCTAATAGAAGCACATAAAGAAGATCTCCTCTTGTTATATAATTGGACAATTTCCTCACCCGATATAGATTGCTTTTGTTTTTACATTTAACTTACAATAAAATACATTTACTTTTTTTTTGGATTTTTATTTTGGGTGAATTAGCTCAGTAGCCAATGGCCTGGGCAGAAAAACCGCTAACCAAATAACCGACCGAACCGAACCGAAAAAAACCGAACCATATCCGAACCGAAATTTTTAAAATAACCGAATGGTTAGTAAAATCCCCTATCCAAACTAACCGAAACCGAACCGAACCGATAACCAAACGGTTAACCGAAATATCCAAAAACCTATAAGATACCCAAGATAATATCCAAAACTATAATTATAAACTCAACATATTAATTATTTTTAGAATCAAAACAATCAAATACTTTAAATAATCAAAATATCTAAATATTATTTGTTATATTTTTCAATGTTAAATACTCTTTTAAATCAAATTTTAATTTTCTTTCTAATATATTTTTTTTTTGTATTTTTCGGTTAATTTTGGTTAGTTTCGGTTATATTCGGTAAATTTTGGTTATTTTGGGTAAAACCCGAACAAAACCGAAAGTAATAAAAATTTGGTTAGTTACGGTTATCTATTTAAATATTCAAACCGAACCGAACCGAAAGGTAACCGAATCGAACCGAACCGAAATTCCTAAAATATCCGAATGGTTATTATATTACCATATCCAAAGTAATCGAAACCGAATGCAACCGAACCGAAACCGAATGCCCAGGCCAAGTAGCCATATTTAGACCCAAAAAAAGAAAAAAAACGGTCATCTGATTTAAGTAATTCAGCAAGTAACCAAAAACCCTAAATAATTACAAGTTTAGCCCTGCATTATTTCTCTATTTTTCAATTGCCACAACTCTAAAACACAACTTTTTTGTAGTCGGAGCTACAGTCTTTTGCCATTACCGGCGGCAACGTTGCAGAGAAACCGACAAAATATCTGAGCGTTGAGCATGTTTGCGTATAAAAGTTTCGATTCGTGGTCGAATGAGCCTGGATTAGATCTAAAGAGAACGAAATCAAAATTTTCGATTGAATACCCTAAGACGGAAGAATGAAATCGGAGAGGATTCGTGAAAAATACGGCGTCGAGATCTGGATTCGACGGTGGAGAAAGGCAGAGACGAGGGTGGTGTGAGGAGATTGCTAAGCCGGGATTAGAAATTGATGAGGAATTAATTGGCGGTGGAGATGATCTCATTTCCGACAAGGATACGGGTGTTGTTGGTGGATGGGAAGTGAGGCTGGATTTGCTCGGAGATCCGTTGTCGGGTGGAGGAGAGATTGGTGAGATTTTGTATTTGGTCGGTGTGAACGGTATCGGTGACGACGACGAAGACCGTGTAAGGCGGGTACAAATGTATATATTACATATTATATACAGGATATCGTTACCTCTTTTTTTTTTTATGGTTACTTACTTAATTTGTTGTTTTTTTTTGTGCATCTACTCCATCTTTGTATATGATCTTGAATTAAGAATTAATTTTGTCCTCCATCTTACGTAATAGAAAAATTAAGAATTATAAAATATGGTTAAATTTTATTTTTAATGTTTCGAATACTATATTTTATACATCTTAATTTTGGGCATCTAAAAATAAAATTTAATCACCCAACTGGCGGGCCTCTCCCTAGTTTTCTATACTAGATTTTGTTCCCGCGGGATTTTAATTTAAAATTTCTTCTCTTAATATAAAATTTTGAGCATAAAATATAATCATTGAAAATTTTAGAAATAAATATTTGAGCATAGATATAATAATTCAAATTTTAAAACATAAATCTATATAAATACTAAACTTATTTTACGAAACAATATACAACATATATATTATCGACGATAATATTTTTTTGACAAATAAATAGTTTGATATATATCACGTGGTAATAAAGATCAGTTAAGAAATTCGTTGGAAGAATAAACGGTATCGACGACCATCTAATGATCATTTATCTCTAAAAGAGTTTCTTTCTTATTCATATTCCAAGAAGATATTTTTTAAAAGGTTCTGACATTAATTATCGATTGTTGACCTATTTGTATATATTATTTATGATTAAATGGTTATACGAACATAACATCATTCCATATAAAATGCGAATATACCGAGTTTCAGAAACATTATTTAGTGTAAATTTACGTCTATAATATCATGTTGCTAGAACATGTATAGCGAGCTTGTTTTACCCATAGAAGCTAGTGCAGCGTGCCATAAGAGAATTCTCGACTAAGTCATCATTGTGCCTATATTTTACTTTCCATGATTACATGGTTATACGGTTAAGTCCAACTTTGAATCTAATAATTTGTTTAATAATATATGTAATGTATTTTCGAATAACCCACTTGTTTCACACAATGAATGAGATCTCAAAGATTTTACCTTAGTCATGTGCATTATCCTTCTAAGTTTTAGAAATTTATTTCCAAAAACTTTTAACTACCATTTCTTTCATCATCTTCTATGATATACTCGTTGCCTTTCGACATCTACTTTCTTTTCACCTTCTATTGACTCACATATAATATATATTAGACTATGAATTGATTTTTAAGACATATCATAATTATTTTATCCTTAATTATTATCTTTCAATACTCAATTTTTGGGTTAAAAGCATTTGATTCCATTGATGAAATATCAAACTTATTTTTCTTTTTGATCATGTTATAAAGTTGTAGTTCCACTTGAGAATATGCTACACAAATTACATATCACTTTTTTTAAGGGCTTACATATCATTATTATATATTTTGTTGTAGAACTCATGAATAATATGATCATTGATTATTTATTTTATTAAAGATGGATGATAAGGTTTTACAATTTTCAAAAGATAAAGTGTGACTCTCACAATATATTCGTCTTAAATTATAAATTTAAATTGAGTTTAGTAAAAAAAAATTCTTAAGTCAAAATTTAATAATAAATAAAAATATGTAGTATATTTTTCTTAGAAACTAATCTTTCACTTTAAATTTTATTTTCTTATTTAAAGTTTTACATATAGAATTACGTAAGTTTAGTTTTATTCTACCATGTATTTAAATTTACTTCCATTCTAAAACTCATTAACACATTTAAATAATTTGGTGTATGATCATTTTTAATTTTTATCATTTAAAAGTTGAATTATATTATTATTACTAATAAAAAATTTCGATTATTATTTTTATTATTTTAACTTCTCATTTATTTTATATAATTCGTTTTTTATTTATTTAAAATTTAAAATTTCTATTAGTTATAAGTAACATAAATAATGCACTAAATGAATCTTTTAAATTTGATTTTTCTTAGAAACTAATCTTTCACTTTAAATTTTATTTTCTTATTTAAAGTTTTACATATAAAATTAGGGAAATTGTTAAAAAAATACCCCTTTTGGTGTGCCCCTTTTCAAAAATGCCCCTTTTAGATGTCCATTTTCAAAAATGCCCCTTTTTAAATCTGAAATTTTTATAAAGTTTCATTAGGTTTATAAGGTACTTATGGATTGTAACTACTACTTGAAGACTCGATCCAAGTATTTATAAGGTTTTATAAGGTGTTTTTAAAGGTTTTACAAGTTATTTTAAAGGAATTTTAAGGTTTTTCAAAGGTTTTACAAGATATTTTAAAGATTTTTAAAGGTATTTAAAATGCATTTATAAGGTATTTATAAAGTATTTATAAGATTTTAGATACATATAAATGTAGTTTGTGTATGTTTTAATAATATTACATACATATTTGGGTAAATCTTATATTTTTAAGAGCATTTTTTATAAGATTTTAAAAAGGGGTATTTTTGAAAAGTGGCATTGAAAAAGTGGCATTTTTGCAAAAGTCCCATAAAATTATGTAAATTTAGTTTTATTCTACCATGTATTTAAATTTACTTCTATTTTAAAACTCATTAACACATTTAAAAATTTGGTGTATGATCATTTTTAAAAGTTGAATTATATTATTATTACTAAATATTATTATTACTAATAAAATTAGTTTACTTAGGCTATTAATATCTATTATACAAATTATATATATATAATTATTTTCTCTAAGATGGGTGTATTTCAAAGGTTACCAATTTATAGATATAAATTTAAATATACGGTTATCAAACTGTAACATAAAAATATTGGGGTTCCTTTTTATTACCTCAGGATTGAGATATAGATATTTTTTGTCAACTTTGGATAACCAAGACGGGCCATTGGAAACCACCGACTTAAGTTCGGTGTCGTCTCTCGGCGAAATGGAAATAAAAATTGCCAAAGCTACTCTTGCCCTAGAAATGAGGTCCTCAAGCTCTGGCTCGACCCGACGTTTATAGGCACCTTCACCAATTCCGTCGATACATGTGATGTAGCTAGTAAGAACGCCACTGAGCCAAGTGTGGACGTTTTCGTAAGAACCAAGATTAAGGCTTTCTCCTCCTAAAAGTTCCTCCACTGAACGGATCATCCTATTTTTTGCCGAGTCCATCATCTCTTCAAATAGATTTGTGTCCTCCTTCACACCAAGCATATCATTCTCCATCTGCTCAAGTAGTTTTGTGTCTTCCATCACACCAATCATAGCCATGTCGATCCTCCACACGGAATTCTTTAAAACGATGATCAATAACTCACGACATTTCATCTCCGAGAGTGACGAGGATACCCTCTTGAGCTCCAACAAAAGATTTTGACATGACTGTTTGTCGTCATATCCTTTGCAAACTCCGATCACCGTTGTTATGAACCCGTTGATGTTGTCATCTTCAAGGCGGACTAGATCGGAGTGGGCTTGTGAGAACATTATTATCACAGTGAAAACAGCGGAAAGCTTCGTATGAACCAACATTTTTGAAGGTTTTTTTTTTCTTTCTTCTCTCTTTAGTGATTTTAGATCATGGCAACTAAGGAAAGAGGAGCTATGGTGGTCCTTTTAAACAAACAAAACAATTTAATTAATTAAAATGGTTGTATTTGTAGTTTTATAATATAGAAAATAAATGATAACCTTTATTAATTTAAATGATTTTATGTCATTTACTAATTGTTGCAAATACGGTAATATGTTCATCAACCAATACTCTCACCAATTGTCTTTTAGTGTTAGTTTGAGTTCATCCCAATTTTTTTTGTAGGTAGACCAATAAGTTTTTGTTATGATTTCACTTTAGTTACTATTTATCCAAACTTTAAAAATTCAGAAAAAGACAAACATGTGAACATAAACTAAACTAAATATTCATATATATAAGTATAATTGACAAATGAATAATTATTTAATTAGACGAAACAATATTATACCACAACACTTCTATAACCTGCATGCATGCATGAATTAAAATATAGATATGATGTATCAAGCTTTCTAGTATACCAACAACGTACATATGTAACCCTTCTCAATTCTGATAAAGCTTGATCTTCTTTTTCTCTTTCCCTTATTTATTTATTTACTTTCAATTAAAATTTATTTGGTATATAGAATTAAGGTCATTTTCACAGCAGAACATTAATTGATTTTGTTTGGTTCGTTTATAATTATAATGTGGTCCCAATCACTAGCATTAGTTGTCTTTTCCTCATCATCACAAATCCATTTTTCTAAACTTATAATACACAAACTAATTAACCTTCACTTATACTAATACATGTAATCGATAAACAAACAATAGTTAGAAAAAAACTTAATTTTGAGATCAATCTAAACAGTTCAATGCAATGTGAATTGAAGCTATGATTCTGTGAAGTTAGGTTTAATTATCCACAAAGAACAATTCTTAATTGGGTTGTATTCGTTTCAAGAGCATTACATTTGAAAGGTTGTTATGGTCATCTTTTCACATAATTTAATGAAAATTTCTTAAAAGTTCAAAGAAACAATTATGTATGTGCAAGTGAAATAAATTATTAACTAAAACAAACCGGTAGATGAATGTAACACTGTATTTAATTTTATAATAATAATAATAATAATATATGTATCTTTTTTTTTTTTATCTTTTCTTGTTTATAGATAGTTTTTGTTTGTACCTTTATCAAAATAGTATAAAGACCAAAGTTATATCTAAAATAAAAAAAATAGATAGCTTTTAGGGTATGATTGGTGGGAAGCGAGATTAAAAAAAATAGAAAAGAGATACTAAAAAAGTTAGAAAAAAATATAAAAGTGGTTGAAATTTTCCAACTAATAAAAGATAGATAGAAGAATTGTCTTATTTTAACCCTTTTTAGCGTAATATAGAGGTTTAACCCTTTTAATTTATAGAGGTTTTATTGTAAAATAAATAGTTTTGCTTAGGTGGATGCTTATGTGGATAGGCTAGATGGAGAGAAGACTCTCCCATTATATATATATAGATTGTAGAAGAAATTTTCTTTTTGGTAGTTTAGATATAGAGGAATAATAGAAATAAAAAATAGAGAAATTGATAGATAATATCTTTTATTAAGTACGTTAACTCATACATTTTGAATTAGCATAAGAGGAACGATATTATCATAGTCCTTTTTCGTACGGAACTCCACTTGCTTTCAACCACGATTCTCCATCTAATAGCTTGCTAACAGTGAATTTTGCGGCTTCGTTAGGATCCGTAAGAACTCTAAACCCTGTCCACTTTACCCTTTTGCTAGTCACAGCTCCTGGGCCCATGTTTTGATATTCGCCGTAGTAGAGAGTTGATAGACCAGTTTCTCCTTCCCAAGGAGTCCAGCCTGCGGGATCAACTAAATCACCGATAAAAGATTGTAGAACCACAACTGTTGAATACTTCCTCCATGGACGACCTAAAAACGTCTTCACGGATGCTTTAACCAGATCTAGATCAAGACTTGCAGTGATATTGCATTTTTGAATGGAGAAGCCCGAGTTGTCGTCCTAACTTTCGCGTGACTGAGCGGTTATCACATTGCTCTGCCCCCTCCTCGGTTGTCTTGCTACAATTTGGCAAAATTGGAAGACAGCCACGGCCTTTCCACAGATAAAATCTACAGTGCCGGTAATAAAGCACTCCCTATAAAATTGGCGGTATTGGTGAGGATACAACGTATCCTGATACCCCTCGATACGACATCGGTAAATGACGGACATATCACCACTCACACGGAGGGCAACGGCTTGTCCCTTTGTCGGTCCGGCCGTGTTCCTGAAGCACATGTCTATTCCGATGAAACCATCACCATTAGAAGCTGCAATTGTATGTTTGGTATAATTATGGTTGTTAAGAATGTAATAGTTTGGTATAAAGAATAGAAAACTATAAACTATTCAAGAAGAGAACACAAATTCTTACCAACAGTTGCGGTGTAGAACGTTGATCTACCAACGTTACAACTTAAATTGCCCGTGATGATGGTTGAATCTTGACCATCACCGATGAGAGTTAAATTGGTTTTCGTAATCCCAATGCGGACGATTTCATCATAGACGCCAGTCTTTATATAGATGACAAATCTCTTTCGGCTATATTCAGGTGCCGCTGCAATGGCCGCATTCACTGTGTTGTAATGTCCGCTCCCATCCTTTGCGACCACAACATCGGCATTCTTCTTTAGAACCTGATTTTAAAAAAATGGAAGAAATTATATTAGCAATAGATAAAAAAAAAAAAAAAAAGGATAAATGTTTTTCACGAATGTTCATATTGGAAAGAGAGAATTGTTTCTCCATTATTGCTCGATGACTCTCTTTCCCGAGGAAGAAAGAAAAGAAACATTGAGTTTTAGTCTTTAGATTTACGGGCTGTTATTCCATGTGTCCATATTGGTTTTTGGGTTTTTTTTTGTTTGTCTTAATTATAGTGAGCCTTTTGTAATAATAATGCCAAGATATGAACGTTTTTATCATAAACATAGGGCTTTAGATTGTTGGGCCATTATTATACGGGCCGTCTTGGTTTTTGGAGTTTTTTTGGTTAAGTTTATACATAGTTATATAGGTCTTTTGTTATTATGATGCCCAAGTAAAAACATTTCTATCAAAAAATTTAATGCAATATTTTTACAAGAACTTTTTTCTTAAAAATTTTAAGTGAAAAATGAGCCAGCTTTATAAGAACAAACATGTAAAACAAAAATAAAACATTGGGCTTTACATTTCTGGGCTGTTATTTAATGGGCCTATATTGGTGTTTGGAGTTCTTTTGGTTAAGGTTTTAACATAACTATAGTGGGCATTTTATGATCATGATGTCCAAGTATGAACGTTTATATAAGAAAGTTTAATGCAAAGTTTTTATCTTAATTGTTTTTTTTTTAAACAACCAAAAATAATACTACTTTTTTTTACTAAAAATAAACCAGCTTTATCATAACAAACATCCAAAACTAAAATGAAAATAATTAACTTTTTTTCATAATCAAATTAGTTTACTTAGGCTATTAATATCTATTATACAAATTATATATATATATATATATATAATATATATATATATATAAAATTATTTTCTCTAAGATGGGTGTATTTCAAAGGTTACCAATTTATAGATATAAATTTAAATATACGGTTATCAAACTGTAACATAAAAATATTGGGGTTCCTTTTTATTACCTCAGGATTGAGATATAGACATTTTTTGTCAACGTTGGATAACCAAGACGGGCCATTGGAAACCACCGACTTAAGTTCGGTGTCGTCTCTCGGCGAAATGGAAATAAAAATTGCCAAAGCTACTCTTGCCCTAGAAATAAGGTCCTCAAGCTCTGGCTCGACCCGACGTTTATAGGCACCTTCACCAATTCCGTCGATACATGTGATGTAGCTAGTAAGAACGCCACTGAGCCAAGTGTGGACGTTTTCGTAAGAACCAAGATTAAGGCTTTCTCCTCCTAAAAGTTCCTCCACTGAACGGATCATCCTATTTTTTGCCGACTCCATCATCTCTTCAAATAGATTTGTGTCCTCCTTCACACCAAGCATATCATTCCCCATCTGCTCAAGTAGTTTTGTGTCTTCCATCACACCAATCATAGCCATGTCGATCCTCCACACGGAATTCTTTAAAACGATGATCAATAACTCACGACATTTCATCTCCGAGAGTGACGAGGATACCCTCTTGAGCTCCAACAAAATATTTTGACATGACTGTTTGTCGTCATATCCTTTGCAAACCCCGATCACCGTTGTTATGAACCCGTTGATGTTGTCATCTTCAAGGCGGACTAGATCGGAGTGGGCTTGTGAGAACATTATTATCACAATGAAAACAGCGGAAAGCTTCGTATGAACCAACATTTTTGAAGGTTTTTTTTTTCTTTCTTCTCTCTTTAGTGATTTTAGATCATGGCAACTAAGGAAAGAGGAGCTATGGTGGTCCTTTTAAACAAACAAAACAATTTAATTAATTAAAATGGTAGTATTTGTAGTTTTATAATATAGAAAATAAATGATAACCTTTATTAATTTAAATGATTTTATGTCATTTACTGATTGTTGCAAATACGGTAATATGTTCATCAACCAATACTCTCACCAATTGTCTTTTAGTGTTAGTTTGAGTTCATCCCAATTTTTTTTGTAGGTAGACCAATAAGTTTTTGTTATGATTTCACTTTAGTTACTATTTATCCAAACTTTAAAAATTCAGAAAAAGACAAACATGTGAACATAAACTAAACTAAATATTCATATATATAAGTATAATTGACAAATGAATAATTATTTAATTAGACGAAACAATATTATACCACAACACTTCTATAACCTGCATGCATGCATGAATTAAAATATAAATATGATGTACCAAGCTTTCTAGTATACCAACAACGTACGTATGTAACTCTTCTCAATTCTGATAAAACTTGATCTTCTTTTTCTCTTTCCCTTATTTATTTATTTACTTTCAA